GATGCGACGGAGGAGGAGGAGGACTTCTCCTCCTCCGTCGCATCTGAGCGACCACACGTGACTGGCCCTGAAGGAGCTCGAGACGTCGCCGAAGTGGACCCGATAGAACAAAACTGGGCTCAGAGGCTACCGAGATGATCCCAAGAGGGCCTCGACATGGCTCAAGATAGGCAGCCCAGAGGTCCCCACTGCTGCCATTGTGGGGCCTGCTCGAGCAGAACCAGCTTCGGATTTACTTACCCCCTCCTTTATTTAACATGTTCTCCCACACTACCCTTCTCTACGCTTCTCGGTGGGTTGGTGGGGAAACGCGAAGCGTCAAGAGCTTGTATCATATTTCGAACTCTGCCACGAGCACACTTTTCCAATATCAGGTGCAGAACGCCAAAGCTCTCCGAAACACTATGCAGAAGTGCGTTGCACGAGGCATGGTAAACGCTGGAAAGCCTCGGTCAACTAGCAATATGAGTCACAGGCAGCACAATAGTCGCTACTGAGTACGATGGCAGGGAGGTGGGACAACCGGCAGCGCGGAGCTTCTCAGGTAGACTTCTGACTGAGGATATCGTAGGCCTCGTTCAGCGCGGCCAGCTCCTCCTCGCGCTTCTGCACGCGCTCTTCGTAGCTTACGTGCACCTCCAGGCACTGCGGCTTCAGCTCCGCGTAGTACTTGCTGGCGGCGTCCAGCTCCGACTGCTCGGCCGCCAGATCCTTCTCGAGCTCCCCCCTGTTGAACTCCGACTGGTCCTTGCCGAGCTTGAGCTTCACCTCCTCCTCGTGTTTCTTCCTCTTGCTCGCCTCCGACTCCGACATGAACGCGTCGTACTCCTTGGCGGCCTGCGCCTCTGCGGCCTTCGTGTCGGCCTCGAGGCGCATGAAGTCCGTCTGGATCACCTCCAGCAGGCCGATGACCCCGCCGCCGGACATGCCCCTGTACTCTGCCATCTCGGGGACCTGCTTGCCCCTCTGCAGGAGGGAGGACTGCGAGGAGTAGAACTCCTGCAGGATCTGCAAGGCCCTGGCGACGGCGGAGGAGCCCGCCATGGCGTCCGCGATTGTCTCCTCATTTTCTACCTTCTCCTTTCGGGCCGGGCGAAAGGGGGGGATAGCAAAGGGGGGGGGTGAGAATCAGCTCACGAGGCTGATTTTCCCAGCGCCTCAAACCAGCTGCATGCAGCAAATTTCGTAACCCTCCCTTTCCCTATCCCCCCCTTTCGTCCGGCCCGATCCTTCTGGCGGATCTGCGTGGCGTCTACCATGGCCTGGGTGACACACAAGCTTGAATGATGTACACTGCAACTTCATAACAGCGCACATATGTAAAAATGCTTCCTTTCTTCCTCCTCTCCCTCTCTCCTCCCTGCAAGTCTTCTCTCCTCTGCCCCTACCCTGGCCTGGGTGAGCTCCGCCTGCTCCTTCACACGGGCATCGACGTCCTGCCCCATGTCGGCGATCTCGCCCGCGAGCTTCTGGATCTCCGCAGACAGCCTCTCCACAGCAGTGCTCTTCGCGTCGCGCTTGTGCTTGTTCTCCTTCAGCTGCTCGTCGCACCACGCCTTGTGGTCCGACTCGGCGGCGGCCTGCGCCTTCAGCTTCTCCAGCATGTCCTCAATCATGGTGACGACCTTTGCGAACGGGTTGTCGGCGGCACTGCCCATGGCCTGCGCGAGAACTGCCAAGGTGTGGGAGCTCAGCTCCGCAGCGCGCTTCTGCAGGAAGGCCACGGCCCGCTGCTGCGCGACAGCGCGGCCACTCCTGCTGCTGCCAGTCTGCAGAAGGTTGGCAGGCTTGTGGGCAGAGACCTGCATCAGCTTGGCGTTGATGTGCTCCCCATAGCTGCCGGCCACATCAGGGTTGGCGATGATCTCGATAGCCTTGGCGAGGGCCTCCAGCTCCTGCTTCCGGACGTCCTGGTTGACATCGTAAGTCGAATGCTTCTGCTCGTAGGTCGCTGTCACGTGGGCTAGAAACTCCTTGTCGTCAGAAAGGTCGGACTTGGTCTGCGCCAACTCACCCTGAGCCTTCGCAGAAGCAGCCTCGGTCTGTGCCTTTGACTCCGCTTTACGCTCGCGCTCGGCAGTTAGCTGCGAGATCGAATTGGCGAGGTGCGTGTCCTGCAAGGCGAACGCGTGAGCCTTGTTGCTCTCGTCTGTCTGGACCTCATCCAGCTGGGATCTGAATTTGTCCAGCAACTTCTCCAGCAAATCGACGATGCTGCTAGACTGGAACTTGTATGATGCAACTGCGGGCGCGCCGTCTTGCTGGCCGTCCATCTGCAGGAAGGCCGCAAGCGCCGCGCGCAGTGCAGGCTTCTCTTTGGCCATCTGCTGAAGGAGGGACTCCGCCTGCGGTCTCGAGTAGGCCTCTGCTGAAAGCACCTGGATGGCCCTCTCGAGCGCGTCAACAGTCGGGCCGGGCGAAAGGGGGGGATAGCAAAGGGGGGGGGTGAGAATCAGTTCACGTAGCTGATTTTCGCGGCGCCTCCCGGCGCCGGAGGCGGCTATATGTATCGAGGAATGGGCCCCTCGGCGGGGCCGAAACCAGCTGCACGCAGCAGATTACGTACCCCCCCTTTCCCAATCCCCCCCCTCTCGTTCGGCCCGAGACGGACTCTGCGTGATCCTGCTCCAGAGTCAGGAACTCGGCGTGCTCCTGCTCGCGCACCTGGATCCGCTGCCCGCTCTCGCGAGCGCGGAGGCCTCGACCGCCTTTTGCGACTGTCTGGTGTGGCCTTCTGTGGCCCCCTTCGGGGGCCGACCAAGTCCCCCTAAGACCGCCCCCCGGTTTCTCGGCGGCGAGCCTGGGGGGGACGCGAGAGGGAGGAGGCCTCCTCGGAAGGCTCGGAAGCCCCCCCATGGCCTCCCGAGGAGTCGAGCCCCCTCCTCAGCAGGCGCGAGGGCTTCCCGAGAAGCCCCGCCAGCTCCCGAGCAGGCCTCCGCCCTCTCACCAGGGGAACAACAAGTGACGTTAAACATAAAAACTCGGAGGTCCGCGCGGACTTCCCGGATCGGCGCTGGACCCCCCTCCCCGGCGCGCGGAGCGCGCCAGGGGCGGCGCCGGAGGCGCCGCCGGGGTGCCCCGGCGCCGATCCGAGAAAGCCGCGCGGACCTCCGAGTTGTTATGTTCATGCCACTTTTTGTTCCCCTGCTCACTTCCTCCCGTCGCTCGCCGTACAGTCGGGGCGTTGACCTAAGGAACCCTAAATAAGGAACGAGGCTCCTTTTTTCCATAAGTTTAACTTCGATTTCCCATCGAAAGCACAAGGAAAACCTGAGGCAAGCCGAGCAATAATCAAGGAACACGGAGCCCCTTCCCAACGAAAAGGGTTCCTTCTTCAGGGCCCCGACTGTAGGGAGGGGCACAGTCGAGACCGACTGTATGGATGGGCCGCCTTCTCTCAAGGGCACCCTTGCATCCGTGCCTCGGCAGTCCATCCTTGACCGCTCTCGAGGACCAGCCCCGCGCGAGGAGCTGCGCCGGGGGCGCCCACAGGGGTCTGCATCCTCATCGCGCATCTTTGCGATCCGCTTCGACAGTAAGCGAAGGGGCCCTGGGACACACGAGCAGATGCACACAAAGAAGCAGACTCCCCATCTTTCACCGTATTTTCTGGGCTTTTGTCTTCCCGCCCAATTCCCATATTTTCCCATATCCCTCTTGGGGCCGTCTTGGAGGCCACTTGGGCCGTCATGGGGCCCTCTTGGGGGCCTCTTGGGCGATCTTGAGGGCCTCTTGGGCCGTCTTGGGCCGTCGGAAAGCCGAAAAGGCGCAAATGCCCAAATCCTTCAAAAACCTATGGAAAATCAATGATTTTGGCCCTTTCGGGCCTTCCTGGAGGACGTCTTGGAGGGCTCTTGGGTCGTCGCCCTCTGCACGGCCCCGAGGCGCCCGAGAGCGCTCACTGCCGGCCAACGGCCTCCCCGGGGGCAGGGCTCCGGGCGGCCCCCCCGGGGGGACGGGGCGGCTCCGGAGCTCTCCACCTCCGGGCCGACCTGGGGGCCAGGGAAGGCAAGCAGGAGGCCCCCCTTCCTCCCCCTCCCTCCCAGAGATCCAACGTACTGAAAAAATCACGACGGAAGCTTTTCGCAGTTCTCGGCCTCTAGGGGCCGTCGCCGGGCCCCGGGACCGTCAAAAAACGACTCCCCTGACTCCAGATCCGCCCTACTTTGGCTTTTTTTCCAACTTACAATTGCGTCGGAAATCCACCTATAAGGAGCCGAAAAAGTAGGGCGGAAATTTCTGCGCCCAGCACAAAGTAGAGCGGAAATCCACAAGAGCAGGGCGGAAACAGCAACAGAGAAGTAGGGCGGAACTTGGCATCAGCGGGGCTTGAAAAGCAAGGCGGAAATTCCAATCCCGACTTACGAATTTCCCCAAAGTAGGGCGGATCCGGAGTCAGGGCCTCCCAGAGATCCAACGTCCTGAAAAAATCACGACGGAAGCTTTTCGCAATTTTCGGCCTCTAGGGGCCGTCGCCGGGCCCCGGGACCGTCAAAAAACGACTCGGGATGAAAAACCGGTCCTGGGGAATGGAGCGAGGCTTCCGGGGACCGCTCCTTGAAAAAACCACGACGTCGGATCTCTGGGCTCCCTCCCTCCCTCCCACGAGGAGGGAGGGGAGGGAGGGGAGGAGGCGGGCTCAGGGTGACCGAGAAAAACACATCCCCCACCCCCAAATCGCGGGTTCACCGAAGATTCGAAGATCGGCCAAAGATTTCGGGGTGCGTGTTGCGTTCGTCGTTGTCACCCTGGTAAAACCCTGGGCCCAAAAATCTCCCTCCCCGAAGTCTCGAGGAGCCTGCGTTCTGTTTTGGACCCCGCGTCTTTGGGATTGGGCGTCTGTTTTGAGTTAGGGACAGAGAGCCCCAGGAAACACCCCAGGACGGCCTCGAGACGGCCCAACAGCTCCTCGAGACGGTCCACCGACGGACCCCCCGCGGGCCCCTGGATGCCACGGAAGAGCCCCGCCGAAAGCAGCCTCCAAGAACAGGGAGTAGGGGAAGAACGCGGCTGCGGACAAAGAGGGAGTGCTTGAGACCTGCGCTAGTTCAGATAGAAAGCACCGGACTGGAACGGGCCTTACATTCAACATCGGTCCTGCTGCACAGCTGCGCTAGCGCGGCGGCTGTGTTTGCCCAAGGCAACTGAGTAGCTGCAGACTTCTCGGCATCCAAAGTGGCGATGTCGGACTCATCCTCCTGAATCGCTCTTGCCAGTTCTGATATTTCGCTTTCCGCCTCCTCGACGAAGGCGGTGAGCTTTTCGATTGCAGCCTCGCAAGTCTTGATCTCGAAGCCAAGCTCCTTCTGCTTGTCATCCACCCATTCCGTGTACTCGGCGAACACTTTCTGTTCCTTTTGCAACATAGTATCGCCCTTGGCTTTCATCTCGTTTAGCATGTCCAATACCTGCTGAACAGGCGTCAGTGCCGCTGCCAGGACGCGCAGCGGCGCCACGGTAGCCAACGCGCAGGCTATTAGGAAGGACTTCATGCTCTGCATTGCGAATGGGCGGGCGGGTCGCCTCAAAGTGGTCAGCTGGGTAGCTTTCCTTGAGACAAGAGGAAGAGGGGGGATGGAGGAGGAGAGATGGGAAGAGAGGAAGAAAAGAGGGAATAGGAGCAGCAGCAGGAGGGCTAGGAGGGAGACTAATGGAACCCTTTTGCGGTGCAACGGCCGAGGAGGAGGAGGAGGAGGAGGAGGAGGAGGAGGAGGAGGAGGAGGAGGAGGAGGAGGAGGAGGAGGAGGAGGAGGAGGAGGGGGGGGGGAGGAGGGAGGAGGAGCAGGAGGAGGAAAAGGAGGGGAGAGGAGGAGGAGGAGGAAAAAAGGGGAGGAGGAGGAGGAGGAGGAGGTGGCTTCGCAGCGCGGCCCTGCAGCCGTCTTGCCCCCGCGGCGGGCGCCCGCGGAGCGATGGCCCCCAGCGCCACACGCGCGGCGGACCGGAGAGATGGGAAGAGAGGAAGAAAAGAGGGAATAGGAGCAGCAGCAGGAGGGCTAGGAGGGAGACTAATGGAACCCTTTTGCGGTGCAACGGCCGAGGAGGAGGAGGAGGAGGAGGAGGAGGAGGAGGGGAGGAGGAGGAGGAGGAGGAGGAGGAGGAGGAGGAGGAGGAGGAGGGGGGGGGAGGAGGAGGAGGAGCAGGAGGGGAAGAGGAGAAGGAGGAGGAGGAGGAGGAGAGGAAGAGGAGGAGGAGGGGGGGAGGGGGGGGGGGGGGATGATGATGATGATGGTGATGATGATGATGATGATGATGACGATGATGATGCTGATGATGATGATGATGCTGCTGATGATGATGATGCTGCTGATGCTAATGGTGATGATGATGGTGATGATGATGATGATGCTGATGATGAGCTGATGATGATGATGGTGGTGATGATGATGACGATGATGATGATGATGCAGATGACGATGATGATGCTGATGATGATGAGATGATGATGATGAGATGATGATGATGTGATGGAGGAGGAGGGAGGAGGAGGAGAGGAGGAGGAGGAGGAGGGGGAGGAGGAGGAGGAGGGGGGGGAGGAGGAGCGAGGAGGAGGAGAGGAGGAGGAGGGAGGAGATGGGAGGAGAGGAGGAGGAGGAGGAGGAGGAGGAGGAGGGAGGAGGAGGAGGAGGAGGAGGAGGAGGAGGAGGAGGAGGAGGAGGAGGAGGACAGCGTACAGGGGGGGTTCAGCTCCACTCTAAGAAGAAGGCGCGGCGGCGCCTGGAGACGACGCCGCACGAGTCGCGGTCGTCGACGGGCACGTAGGCGGCATGGAGGCCGCACCAGAATGAAGAACAGACGTGGAAGAAATACGATGCTGGTGATGCGCCGCGAGGGGAGAAGCAGGGGAGGAGCACGCAGCAGCAAGAGCAGAGCACAACGGAGCGACGGACGAGGTGGGGAACGGGGGAAGCGCCAGCGGCATAGCGATCTTCGAGGGAGGGGAGCGAGGGGAGACGGCAGAGGGCAGCAGCAGGGAGGGCTCAAGGGACGAGGGAGGCAGATCGGGCGGGAGGGCAGGCGTGGCGCCGAGCGTGGGAGGACAGAGCGGGGCGTGCAGGGCGACGGAAGGCACGTGGGGAGACCAGGTCGGGGGGGGGGGGGAGCAAAAGAAGACAGAGGGGCAGTCGAAAAGATGCATTGACGGGAAGGCCTGAAAGGCGAGTGCTCAGGGCGGGAAGGGGTCCACGACGCGGACCACGGGGAGGGAGGAGATAGACTCTGAGTCGACGGGCTGGCCATCAGGGTACAAGGGGAGCGCGAGGAAATCCCTGAAAATGTCATCGAAGAACATGAAGCCATTGGAGCACAGGGCGCCGAGGGAGCAGCAGCAC